CAGTCATAACTTTGTGTTTGATATAACTGTGTTGCTTAAACTATATGAATATTGTGGTATGTTAATGAATTTATAATAAAACATAAATGATGTAGGATGTTCTCCGAATTTGGCATTTTTTCTTCTTCATTGTCATTTAGATGTCATTTCATGACTTTGGTGCCAGTGTTCAAAAATGTATCTGCATAGAACGATGATAAAATACCAGGGAGCTCAAATGTTTTTGCAAATGACCCTGACTTAATTAGAAAAATATGCACCCTTCCCAGTTCTTCTCACATGTCAGCTCTCATTAAATTAAAAAAAAACTCTTAAGAAATCCTATGGTTAACAAAACTTTTAAACAGAGATCAAGTGGGCACATTCCTACATTTCTGTATGAGGTCATACCAAGCAGTTCATAGCTGAATTTGAATTTATAAGAAGTATGAATTATTTTTCAATATAAGAAGTATCTGATCTAATACTAATTTTTTCTCTATAGGTTAACTGTGCTAGGAACAGGTGGCCCTGCTTTCAATTATGGAGGGCTAGCATGCCACTGTGAGGCCTGGATTAGTTCACCTTCTCACGGGGAATTTTCCTTGGTTGGGAATGGATTTATTGTGGCTTCACACATGGAATAGAGCTCATGTCAGCTGAGGGCAGTGACACATCATATGATTCAAATTAACCTGCTGTGGACTGTTCCGCAGGGCTTAAATTGTGTATTAAAATGACGACATTTTAAAAACAGCTTGAAAGAAACCAGGATTGCTGAACTGCAATGGTTCCAATTTGTTCCAACTAATCTATCACCTGCTGGAGATATTATTCTAGTGGGTTTCTGGTAGCTGCTGTTTTCCAGGTTTCTCCAAGCCACTGACCTTGCTAATGGGTACAATTGTTGCCTCTGAAGGCAAGAGGTGGGGGTGAGAGAGCTTTGAAGGGGTTTTTGATGTAGAAGTTTGGAACTACCATTTGCTCTAAGGTACTGTTAAGTTAACAGAGGAAATTAGGGAATACTCAAGAACTCTGAATTATTTTTCCAAAACCAAATGCTTAAGAACAGCATGTGTATCACTTTGTCTAGGTAAAATAACCTCAGAAAAATAAATCTGAAAGGCTGAATTCAAAAGCTGTTATGTTTGCACCTTTATGAAGAAAATTTAAGGTTGGATAGTTACAATCAGTATTTCTTCTAGTCTTCAGGATTGAAACTTTTATTGCTACTGCAACCTTAATTCAAGAGCAAGAAAAAAATAAATGAAAACACTATTCTATAGAGGTAGCATAAAATACTCTTTGGTAATGATATTTAAAATGTGCCTATAGATTAAGAAACTAGTAGCAAAGTATTATTAATAAAAATACTGTATATAATTAGTAGCATTTTTGCAGTACTAAAAATAAGCCTTTTTATTTTTCAAGGAATATTATAAAGTTTGTTATAAAAAGATATTATTAAGTTTGCTCCCCCATTCTTAGCATAAATGATACTCCTTTTAGTATCTTATTACCTACATCTGGAAAAAATACCATTTTCTTGAGGTGCCAAAAATCTGTAAGATAATACAACCTTATGGCAGGAAATGCTTTAAAGTGTACTGTTATTCCTATTGATCTCTAAATTGATACAGAGTGGCAGTCTGGTTGGGTAGTGAGACTATATGATTATTCTATAGCATAACATGTACTTACATATTTTAAATGACAAATTGTTCACAGTAAGGAAATTTTTTATCTAAGTAAATTCTGGAGCAGTTTAAGACTGTTAGGTTAGTGTTTTAGTGGTATCCCACACAGTCTGTATCTCATTCAAACTAATCTTCCCTCAAATAATTTATGAAAGAAAAGTACTCGTGGTTAAAATATTTTAGATTTTGAAGAACTTATACCATTCATCAGATGATGTATTTGATTTTCATGATAAAACTATTATTTTAAAAACCACTCATCATTCTTTGTATTGTTCCCCTGTCCTGTGCCCCCAAGTATCTGCAGGTTGGCTTTTAATACCTGTAACTGATGCTATTAAGAAAATCATATATATATATATATGATAAACATATATATTTTAATTTTATGAGTCATATTAAACCTGCACAAAAAGTACAGTTCCCAGACCAACAGCACCCACGTACCTGGAAACTTGTTAGAAATGTAGAATCTCATCTTTACTATGTAGAACTATTAGATCATATTTCCACATTAACAAGCTCACCAGAGGTGCTTCAAGTGCACACTCAAGTTTGATAAGTGCTGTTACAAAATAATTATCCTAATTCATTTGTTTATTTAAAAGTTTTAATCTCCAGAGATTATCACTATTATTGAACCAACATAAAATTATAAATGACACATAATTTTCAATTTTAGAAAGCATAAGAAACACAGAGGTACAACTATTTAAAAAAATTATGCTTCTACTACAGAGTCACATTAAATGTGAGAATTATAAACATATGACTTTTTTATTCATTCACTGACATTCCTGTTAAAATTCAACTTATCTGGTTCCTATGAAAATATTGTACACAATTTACAATTGATTTGCCAATTCCATCTGTATTACAAACAAATTAATCAAATGTAAACTAGGAGAGAACCTTATAGTCAGAGCAAATAGAAAATTGTACCTAAAAACAAAAGAAATCTGACACTAAGAAAGGTTAATAAGGGGTAAACCCATGTTTCCCTCTCACTTCTCCATGAAATAACCGTATGTTCTCACCCTAGCATCCATTCTAACATGTTCAGTCTTTAACGTGTGACAACTCTGAAGTCAGGAAGTGTCCTGCAAGTGATGTAATGAGAAAACACTGTACCATGGTTTAAATAGCACACATTTTTTTTTT